GTTGCCCATAACAAATTATTAATAAAGATAAAGGCAAAACCTCACCTTAATACCAAAAAAAAAAAAAAAAAAAAAAAGGAAAGTTTAAAAAATAAAACCAACTTGATAATGTATTACAATTAACTTAATATTAATAATATAAATTTCAAAGTAATTCGACTTATTATTAACGCTTTGAATCATCTCAAAGTTTACAAATTGATTATAAAATGCTAAAGAATAAAGATATACATATTAACATACAAGTTTTGAGAATTTGTTTACAGAAATTGTTAATTAAAATAAAAAAAAATAGTTACATAAAACTATAGATTGAAACTTATTTAGAGCTATCGCAAAGAATTAAAGATAGGACTTTTGAATTTGGTCTAAAGAAAGTATGATACTTATATAAATCTTTTATTTTTTTTATAATTAAAATTGGTAATAAAATTTGAATATACATAGTAATTCGAACAACATAACTAACATAGTAATTTGATTAATATATTAAAAGATTAGCATTTAGTTGTCTTGTTTAAATTAACACAGCACAGTCAAACTTTCTTAAATTTACCCATAAGGATTATACATTTATAACATACTTAAAAAACACTAGGATAAATGCACTTGTTGAGTTAAAATCTTATCTCTCAAAATAACTATACAGTAAGGCATCTCCAAATATATCCATCCTAAGGTCATAACCTTTTTAAACGTATTCTTAAATTATGGTTTAAATTTTATGACGAATTACTCAGGTGTTTAGTTTAATGCATTTTGATTTAATATTAGTACAGATAGACACTCTAGATATATTCTACATGGACTAGGCTTATACAATACACATTTAAAAAATGATAAGAAAAAATGCACTTATAGAGGTTAAATATATCATTTAAAATTTTTGTATTTAAGTTTTGAATTTATTTATTAAATTTATTTAGAGAATTAATTTATTTATTAGATTTATTCAATTATCTTTTTGCTTTTTTTTCTTTATCAATCATTCTAATGCTTCTTTTTCATTTTTTAGATTGATAATTCTCTTCTTGCTCTTCATTTTTATCTTAAGAAATTTCACCTTCATCTAACTCATCATCATTATCTGGTTGTTTCACTTTTTTGTGACATCGAACATCTAAATCAGCATAATCTGGTTTTTTTAGTTTACTTTTACAAGATGAATTAATGCATTGTTCAGATTTTTCAACTATATATTTACCTGAAATAAATACAATGTTACCAGCAATGAACATTTGAGGTTGTTCATCTGCAGAATAAAAATATTTCCATTTAATCATTTGAGATGTTTCCTTGGAAGGTTTGAATTTCATATAACTGTATGAGCATGATCGACTATTATTCACACTTATGATAACAACAAGAAGTGTGACGTGGGAAGGCATTTGTTTCAATTTTAAATTTTTTTGTAATTATGAATTACGATAAACTATCTTGTCAAAAGTTCACTTTTATATTAAAAAAATATATCATTATAAAAGCAAAGTGGTACTTTTTAATATAATAACTATTTTTTTTAATTATAACAATAAGCTATTCAAGCTTATAAATTTACTATTGTCAGAACATTATTAATTTGAGACTTTGAATTATAACAACGAGTTTATTTACGCTTATAAATTTACTATTATCAGAACATTATTATTTTGAGGCTTTGACAAAAAAATTTTTATTACAATATAAACATCAATATCATCAATGAACTTCAGCATGCAAATATTTTTTAACAAGAATCTGCGATTTGATATAATTTCATATTAAGAAATAATTTTACACAGAACGATTGCCTCGTTAATTAGTTATAATTATTTCTAGTAATTATGATAAAAAAGACAGGTTGATAATCATATGAATTGTTTAAAATAGAAAATGTAACTGTTATGAGCTAATGCTAATAACCAAAACTTGTAAAAATTAATTTTAAGCCCTTTTTACCCTTTTTAGAAAAATAATATTACTCAGATAACTAATAATTGAATTAGAAAAGAACAAGATATAATTTATGTTATTTGCAAATAGCATAAGCCACTTTTCCTAATATAGTAATTAAAGTAAACATATAAAATCACAAGATAATGTGTAATTAAAAAAATTCTAAGAAAACAGAAAAATCACAAATTACTCAAGATTTTATCATGATAGCTGATTTACTTCTGAATCAAAGTTTTCAGCACAAAATTTTAGCACTGTGAGTACATTTAAATTTTAAATATCAAGCAAATTATAGCCTGCACAGATTATCATCTTCGTACCCAGTGATCAACATAAACTGTGACAAATTCAGTACAGTACATGCTATAAATATAATAAAATATTCATAGCCAATAAAATTAGATCAAAGCAATCGATAATTCAATAACAAATTATCATATCATCAATGAATACTTAAAAAATGTCCAACAGTTTCTTCATTAACCATGATAAAAGATGGTTTTAAGTATAAGTAATACAAATGTGGCTTAGTTATATTTTATACAATAAACACGTTTGATCCGAATGATACAATTTTTAGAAGAGAGATCACCATGAGCCTGCATATATAACATGTGCTAGATAAACAAGATAAAAATCAAGATAACGTACTATTTGGAACAACGTCCAATTAAAAGCCTATATTCGCACACAATATTTCACTCTCCATATAACCATACACTTCGTTTTATTCTATTCCTGATACTGGTAAGGAATTATATCTATCATGATTGAATCTAACATAAATAATTTAATTTGTAATTAATCACATGTAAGAGGAATTCAATTTTGATTGGGACTGTCTTTAATGTAAACATGATCAAGAAAATTAGAATTATCTTTATTGCTCTAAAAAAAGTTTTTGTTGAGCAATTTTACTAATAAACTACTCACTTCTAATTCCTAAACTTGGCCTAACCTGATATAAGAAAGCTTTAAAGAATTGCAAAATTTTTATAAATATTTTTTGATTATATAAACTTTAACAAAACTAATGTTTGCTTTGTATATTTCTGTTCATTTATGTTATATGTGATCCTAAAAATTGTTTCGTCTTTCAGGGATCTGTGCCATCATAAATCACTAAGGATGTTACACCCATTGTAAAAGTCAAACCTGCTTCTGAAAATTACCATCGTTTTAACATAGTACAGTACTGAACAGTAAAAGATATCCAATGTATATTAATAAAAATTTTGAAATGTAATAACTTTTTTAAAACAAGTTAAATCAAAAAAACCTCTGACAAATTGATAGATTTTTGGATAAACTACATTTCTGTCCAAGAATGTTTTTTTTATTCTTTGTTTTAGAAAAGTTATAAAGAATTAAAGTTTATATGAGTTTAAAAAAATTGATGTTTAATATAAAAGAAAAGAAAACATATATATATTTTTAACTAATCAAAATCAATTACATAAAATTAGCTAATTAGAATTGATTATATAAGTACAAAAAATTGACACCTATATATATTGATTGGATGTTTTTTACTGTCCTGTACTATACAACTGATAATTTTTGTTTTTTTTGTTACTTTTGTTATTTTTGTTTTAAGAAATAATTGTCAAAATTGATACAAAAGATATTATTAGAATAATAGTATAGACAAAAAAAATAGTAATAATAAATATGAAAGTTGCATGACACAGTTATGTTAGAATCCAGGAATGAAAGCAAATATGATAGTTAATAAATAGTACAAGTTAGATTTCATTAATATATCATGAAATATTTAATATACAAGGCATTATATAATAAATTATCAAGTTATTAGGTTATCCAAAAATTATTTTGTTATTGCTTTTGATAATCATTAATTAGCATTTAGCAACCGGACCAATTCTGTAACTCTCTCTGTAGATCACTTGTACCAAAATTTTACTAAAAACATTTAATTATTTCTCAATAT